TATATATATATATAATACTATATTTTTTATTATATACGGCACTGCAACAGGGCTAGATATTGGCCGTAAGAGTAGCTTTTGTATTTCAAATAATTTTTCTAGTAATAGGTAAAATATAAAATTGCATTACAATGATCATGTAAATCTATTAACCAAATTTTATGTTTCTAGGCCATGAATAGATGAAATTGAAGACACGGAAACTTTTTGATTTCCGAATGTAAAAGAAAGTTGATTACTTTTGAAGCACCCGTCAATTCTAACTGAATTAAGCAAAATTAATGAGGAGGGAGTTTCCTCAACAACACTGATGAATGACAGTGTGATAGAGGAGTTCTTTCAAGAAAAGCTACCCTTAGCACTAGCAAGCATTTGTTATGAAAACCAAAATAGTATTACAACTAGCATGTTCAAACTGAAGCAGAAAACTACTCGCAGAAGTCATTACTTCAGATTTTGCTAAGATCCAGCTCACCATCAAATGCTGTATTTTGGATCAGTGTTCCACTCTTTCCTGAGCTTTGTAAACATTGCAGCATCACTCAACTGTTTGCAATTAATTCGATTCCTTTTATATTATGGTCGTTTTAATATGTTGCGCGTTCACGCCCTTTTATTCTAGCAGTGATATACTTTAATAGGAGAATTAGGAAACTAAACTAAATTCAAGAACATAAACTTACCGCTTTAGAGCCCAGCTACCAACTGTAATTTGCCTACAGTTTGTACCGCCACGCGTCCACAGCTGGCGCGCCAAATTTAAATTATGCGCGACAGTGAGCTGAAACACCCAAAAATAACACAAGCTTCGATTGATGACTTATTTCAATATCAAAAAATATATATAGCGATGGCAACTATTAGTTGGACTTCGAGTTATTTGAAAATTGGCTGAAACAGACCTGTCGAAATGTCAAAACCATGGGCTGCATCTTCGTTAGCTGCAGCGCCCCCTGGCGGTCATCAATCCGAACTCAAAGTACAATTGCCCGACGTTATTCTCATGTTCTACCTTCAGAAACAGCACACAAAACATTGCAAGCATTTTATATTGAGGCGAGTTATGTCTGCTCTAGAAAAAACTCGTAGTTATAGGAACATACAACTTTTTAATTATCGCTTACCTCATACCGCGCTGCTAGGCCTAACCGCTAACTGGAAGTGAGTGACAGCCCTGGAGACCAGCTCGTGGCAAGCGTGAAAATTGTGCAACAAAATACACGAAACTCGACTCTTCCTCGACTGAGGTGAGTGCTACAGTGCTATAGTCGACCGGTGTTCGACGCCTGACTGACGTTCGAGCAATGTCCGTGCGCGAAACTCTGCCGATAGGGGCGCTAGACTCGCGAGTGGCTTTCGGTCACAAGGGGGCAGCACGGACGTTGGTGGCTCCTCCGTCGGCCACAACCGATGGGCTGACTCGCCCAATCGCCAAGTCGACGCCAGCGCCAGCCAGTGTGCCGCCAGCAGCGCCAGTAATGCCAATGAATACCTCTGCCAGGCGGTCAATGTGACGACAGTACTAGTATAGACAAAACAACAACCCACCCCACCCCACCTCCAACGATTTGCTTAACCTTACCTAACAACCAACTACATCCTACGACATCCGCCATGTATTCCAATGGCTAATGTTCGTTGGCTCGCTTTGCACGGTAACATTCACCCTCTACGATACTCAAATCCTATATAGCTGTTACAGCCCACAGTCATCAAGCCGGTAATGCAGCAGTACGCCACTGAACATCGGCTATACAGAACGACAACAACAACGCAGTTAATGTTTGCTGGCCCCCATTCCCACTTCCCCGCGCGCTCCTGATATATATCCATATAACGCATCCCCCAATATGATCGGGTTGAATGTGTGTCAATTGCCGCCACTAGCATCAGGTTTATATCTTCTTACTGCCTCTAGTGGAAGGATCAAATGAAATTTCCGAATCTCCCAGTAGTAACCTAATTCACTTTTTATTCCAGTAAATCTACGTTAATCAATACATCTTGGATCGCCATTTCACAAAATGGATAAGGGTCTTTACTTGGAGTATGTAATAGGGATATGCGAATGGGGAATTCTATCGTCATTTGATCTCTTTATTGCTAAGATGAATCGTAGAAAACATTTGTTAATAGGTATGTTATTCTTAAGTGTTGGCTATATTGTTGACAACGCGCGTATCTTTTTTCTTTTCCACTGACATTGGAGTTTGGAAGTTTGACAATGTCTTTAATATTTCCTGATAACTGCAGCGATGGTAGGGCTAGCGTCACGTCTAGCCGAAATTGGGCAAACTGATAGTAGATGGTTTGTGAGCATCCTTAAGTATCATATGGCACTATAACTACAGGATGGGCGGCAACGATGAATTGCTTAATGTTTTCCTAGAAGAAACAGGGAAAGTTAAGAGCTGCTAATGAACGGGTATTTGGCAGCTGAAATGCCCGCTTGCATGAATTGTACACGATTTTTTTTATGGAACGGTCCGTAGCGTATACGAGAGGCGAAAAGCACGACAGAGGAAAGCACAATAGTAGAAGCAGAAATATGAATATTTTATTTGTTTCGCCTGGTGTACAGGTTTAAAAGGAATGTAATTTCAATAAGTTTCTTACCTTCAGAGGAAGACAAAATGTCTGAAAAAACCTAGCTAAAAAGAAAACTAGGTACCTTCGACAGTACCAAAAAAGCAACGCCAATACAAGTTCATTGAAAAGTCGAAGCTTTTCAATGAACTTGTATTATTATTATTGTAAGCTAACGGTGATTAATTTGTGGACTGAATAGACTCTAGATATGAAATAAGTAAAAAATGTTTTTCATATTTTACGTTCTTAAGTGGTCAAGTATTACTTCGATTCGACGATTGGCTCCCAGCGCGAAACGAAGTGTGTCCGTGCGCGAATTTAAACCTAGCATCATCTTTGCATGCATTTCTCGAGTTTAACAGGCAGAAGCGTTGTCGCGGAGTACCAGTATAGTTTTTCTACTTATCTTACAATCTCCGACAACATTTTAATGATGATGACCGACCATTTTTGATAACGTTTACTTTTAAACATCGATAAGTTCATTTTCTTTTACCCTAAGCTTGTAAAATGTATTTATAGCGCCAAATTCGCCTGGAACTAACCTTATTTGGGGTAGTTTGCCTTGCTTTGGCAATACGAAACCCATGGGCACATAGGTCGAATAATAACAATAATTTAATATCGATTGCAGTTGCCTACTGTCCATATAGCGTTTTTTTTTTTTTTTTTTTGAGAAGAAGAATTTTGAGTCTAGATTGTCATGTCATTGAGTTGGGTAACTGTAATAAAATTTTAAATATGTCCCAGGCTAGCACCCACTTTCGAACTTCATAGAGGAATGAAGTACTTTTAAACCTGCTCAAATGCAATAATTTATAACGGAAGGTCTCCGGCAAATTGACCCTTGGATGAAGAACACAAGTGTTTATTGGCATTCTGGTGTACATGTCGGGTCTTCTCGCAAGGCGTGTGTACTGTGCTTCGGCCGAGCTCTTGGACAGTGTAAGGTTGCTTGAGGCAAAGTGAGACACTTTTGTGACACACCTCAACAATCTTTCAACGGCTTTTATTGTTAAATTATGACTGGGCAACAAACATAACCGCGATATCTGGATTAGTGCGAAACACACCCACGGAGATAAATCAGAATGGCAGAACTTGAACTAACAGAGGTGAAAAGTTCTATTGTTATCTTTGCGGCGCAAAACGGTAGCGTGGAAATATGTATATTCAAGTAAAACATGATGAATATCTGGTTTCGGACCGGAATTGCTTCACGTATCGTTAGTTTAGTAGGTAAAAACGTTACCACTGTACCTGATTAAGCCGTAAGAAGAACGCTTGATATGCCGATCCCGAGAAGGTTTTGGATACGTGGTCCTTAAGACCTTCAAATATACCTCAGTCTAGCTTTCACGCTATGTATTTTTGTGAAATATATCAGTTCGCACTATTTGCACAGTTGTATGCTATCAACTACAGAAAAACCGCTGCGGTGTATTGTTGGTTTGCATGGCGTACGCATCATTCGTGGCACTGTTGTCGAGCTGGAGGATGGAAAGCTATTAGGTTTCATTGGTAATACAATGCCATATGAAGCAGTGAAGGACATATTATCGAGTAGAACAAGCAAATTTGGTAGAGCCACTGTAACATAGATCTGGTACAAGCGTAGTTATTGAAATCAAAGCATTTTTAGCGGATTCTACTTCTTGATCTTGTTTTAATGGCTGCAAAGTATTTAGACAAATAGACAACTCTGACGCCGACGCTTGAATCGTTGAACACTATTAGTAAGTCTATGTTCAAAAATTCATATGTTTAAAGAAGACGTGAGTAGTCCCCGATGTATGTAAAAAAAGATGTATTTGTTATCTGCTAATTTAGTCGTGAAGCTTGTGTTAACACGTGCGCAAAATGGGTAAAATGTTGTCTAATTTATTTAGTTGTGAGACTTTTTTGTGCATGGAACTATTCTTCTAATTTTTGCAACCACAATGAGTTTGAATTTTCTTTATTTCATAATGATTGAGGTGCTCGATTAACAATCTTGTCTGTTCTAATCTGCTGTTAGCAGATGTTAGTGTTACATGTTAGCATTTTTAGTGGTACCGATAATACCGATAGTCAACTTCTGCAATTTTTTACTATTCGAATTCATCAATCCTCTGAACCAAGTAGCATCTGCTGAAAGCTGCGAAAAAGTTTTACCAACCTGCTGGTCTCCATGAATAGCTATTAAGGGTAATAGGCGTAAAAATCAATTATCTAAGAAATTCCGATGATTGTTTTTTTACAGTGATAGGACTAAAGCTTCAAAGAAGCAGTACATTCTTTGTCGCTACTTAATCATTTAAATGTGATATTTATGGAAGCATGGATTAACTTTCGCTACAACGTTGCCATACCAAGATGCACCCCAAAAGATAGTGTAAATATTATTAGATAAAAATGAATTCGATTGCTATAGATGGAATGGATACGTAACTACCTATTTGTTAAACGAAGTGAAATGTTTGTTTTGCTTACGAATATCTTGGAATCGCAATAAAATTGAGTAGGAATTTACGCCATTTACTAATACTTGAACCTTTGGGGATTAGTTTTAGTCCTTAACTGAGGATGTCTGGGTTTGGAAAATCATTTTGACATACATGGTAACACAATAGTCAAAATTGCTGTGATCTAGACTCGTTTACACTACTGCTCACCGTGTCCTGAAGTACGCGCTGCGGTTATTTCGCACTTCACCATCGCTTTGAGAAAGGAGGTCACCTGCATTGGATAGCGCTGCTTTTGAATATTGTTAGAGCAATTGCGTTAAATGCAATATGAGCGCCGTTACAGGCCCCGTGGAAGGGGAGGCCGGTCAGCTGATCGTTGCCGACAATTCTCCAGAACAACAGCAACAGGCCGCACAGGCCCATGCAGAGGGAATCTCTGGTGAGTACCAATACGGAAAATTAGTAAAATGTAAACTATACAATAAATGACATTCGCTAATGACCCCTGCAGATGTGCAATAAGCTCTCGTACGGCAGCAGTACGCTTACCAATGCAGAACTGTAAACGTGCAGGGTTTGACACAAAAGATTTTTCAAAATTATTTTTTATGCTACTGCAGACATCCAGAACTACCTGGCGTCTTTTAACAAGGAAATTGCGGACCAGCCAACAGTGGTTCGTGGTGGGGCTACTCTAACCACAGTAACTGCTTCCGGAGCTTCGCAAACGACAACGACAGATGCAACAACACCAGCGTACTTCGTTACACAAACTGCTGATGGGCAACTACAGTATACACCGGCTCCTACAGGAGGTTCATCAGATGAGAATTAATTCATGTTTTATCATTTTCTACCAATAAATTGATTTTCTTTCTTCGCACTCCTGCAAGACACAAACATTTACATAATTCCTATGGCAGGTACCAGCACATATGCTTTTATTAATACAGCATCATAAAACTGATGAGACATACACTTACGACTATTACTAACTAGTAATGCTATTGCCTGAGGAAAAATAAAAATATTTTTTAAATATCTGTCGTCTTTCAGGCGCCTACTTTACAACAGCCGAAGGTGCAACTTATTATTCGGCTGATGCGTCAGCAGCCGAAGCTGGTCCAATTGTCCTGGTCGACGGATCACAGATCCAACAAGTAGCTGGAGTAGGTTTAAACGTGGGTCAGGTCGGCGTAGGTACTGTTAGTGTGGCAGGTGCTAGCGGCGCAGATGGAACCGGCCAGATTGCGCTGGCACTGCAGGGCCAAACGGCCGAAGCCATTCTGAAGGCTGCCACCCAAGGCGGCCAAATCCTTACAGCTCAGCCTGCTGCCGGTCAGCAGGCCGGAGTTCAACAGTACCAAACTGTGACAATCGTTCCTCAGGACGCAGGAGCCGCCGGAGGCGAAGTGTCGTACGTGCTTATCGTATCGCAGGATGCAACGAACGCTGGAACAGCGACGGCAACATTACAACCTGTTGGACAGGTGGCCGTAAAGAAGGACCCCCAGCAGGATATATCTGTGTACGAATTCGATGATACGGTCAGCCATAAGCAGACGGGCCAACAGGTTGTGACGCGCGCCCAGCTGGACAGCGACGGAAAGGTTCGAACAGTCAAGGTTGTACAGAAGAAGGTAGTGCAAACTTTGACCCAAGCTCATATGTGCACGTACTGCAATTATACCTCGCCCAAGCGATATCTACTAAGTCGTCACATGAAAAGCCATTCCGAAGATCGACCCCACAAATGTTCAGTATGCGAGCGCGGTTTCAAGACGTTAGCGTCATTACAAAATCACGTGAATACTCACACGGGAACCCGACCCCATCAATGTAAGGAGTGCGATGCCTCCTTCACGACTAGTGGAGAACTCGTTCGACACGTTCGGTAAGTTTCGAAAAATGTAGCTTTTTATTGTGGTCTTTATTAATAACACACGTAATTTTGCTGCCTAAGCTCCGTATGAGAACCCTATACGGTATGACGCGTATCGACACCATACGTACCATTTCCCTCCCCCCCCCCAAGGTAACGCTATTTTATTTATACATTCTATTTTTCTATTGACCCTGACGTGTATTGCTGGGAGTATTGCATTGTAACTACATTTCATCTAGAAATTACTATATTTGACGGCAGCCTCACATACCATATCAACTAGAGCTTTCAAATTAAAAAACTCAGAAAGATGTGCAATGATCAGCCGCAGTCATAGCGATTTCGAAATTGGCCTCGAATAAGGCGCCGAAAGAGAATAAATGTAGTATTTGTCATAATATTTGCAATGAATATACAAGTCTGAGATTGTCAACGGGAACACAGTAGTCATTTTCGACTCTCGTCAGATATTTGAAGAATCATAGCCGTCGCTTTTCATCGTTACGATATTGCTTGAAATGAAGATATACTAGTTACAAGAAATGTTGATCTCCATTATATCTCTGTTATTTCCTTGCAGATATAAGCATACTCATGAAAAACCCCATCGATGTACTGAGTGCGACTACGCGTCCGTGGAACTCAGCAAGCTTAAGAGACATATGCGGTGTCATACGGGTGAAAGGCCATACCAATGTCCGCATTGTACATACGCCTCGCCGGATACCTACAAACTTCAGAGGCATCTCAGAATACACACAGGTATCCTGGATGAGCCAAGAGGGCAAAAAAGCCAATTATCGTTTAATAGCTGACAAAATACAGAATTGCGGTGAGAATATAGGGCTTGAGGGTTGTGTACGACCTAAGAGTGTGCTCATTATAATTAGTTAAGATTTGTTTGTGACTAGGTTGTACGATGAGCTTGGCTTTTATACGTTAGTACTCAATAAATTACTGCTGATATCTACTGCATCATGTCTGGTCCATCGATAGGCACCGTGATGGCAAAATGACCTAGGCAGTAGCCCTTGCATCACAAGGTGTCAGCTTCAAATTCTAGACAGTTAACGAGCGGCTATATGGTAAACAGTTCAGTTCAGGGAGCTCATGAGGGTTTTCTAACCGAACTGTAGTACTTTATGTACAATCCGTGTGTGTGTGAAAGGTACTGTGATTATAATACGTAGTCGACATGAGTGCTATACGCAAAACCAACTTCTTTATTTTCCTGTCTCATTTGTGACTTGTAGGCGAGAAGCCGTACGAGTGTGATATCTGCCATGCGCGCTTTACACAGTCGAACTCTTTACGCGCTCATAAATTGATCCACACCGGCCAAAAGCCGATCTTCCAGTGCGAACTCTGTCCCGCTACGTGCGGCCGAAAAACAGATCTGCGCATTCACGTACAGAAGTTGCACACCTCTGACAGACCGTTGAAGTGCAAGCGGTGTGGGAAAAGCTTTGCTGACAGGTAGGTCGTTTATTCAGTGTGATTCATTTAAACAGACATAGAAATTTCAGCGATGAACATCCTCCACCATTGAAGTTCTCGTATATAATATATCTGATATAATGCTATATAATGCACCGTGCTTATCTACAACTTGCAACGTATAGTAATATCAGAATGAGAAACATTTTTATTTGTTTCATTTGTGACTCGTCTGTTCAGGTACACATACCGCGTCCATGCCAAAAGCCACGAAGGCGAGAAATGCTTCAAGTGCGATCTCTGCAGTTATGCGTCAATATCGCAGCGCCACCTCGAATCACACATGCTTATACACTCTGATCAGAAACCTTTCCAGTGTGACGAATGCGATCAGGCGTTTCGACAAAAACAACTTCTAAAACGCCACAAAAACCTTTACCACAACCCTAATTATGTTCCGCCAACGCCTAAAGAGAAGACCCACGAGTGTCCCGAATGCAATAAGGCATTTCGGCATAAGGGCAACCTTATACGCCATTTGGCCGTTCACGATCCGGACGCCACCGCCCAGGAAAAGGAAGAAGCCATGCGTATTGGCCAGCCGAAATTACCCGGAGAAAAGAAAGACGGCGAAGAGGATGACTATGACGAGCTCATGGATGATCCGGATGAGGAGTTCTCAGACGAAGACGATGACGATGATGACGACGAAGATGAGGTTATGGATGAAGTTGAAACCAACAATGTTTTAGGAACTAATGCCGATGGAGTGGTTACGGTTAGTGGCCACCAGGTAGCTCAACAGGGTGGGCAGGGCACAGCGCAGGTTGGCCAGCCACAAGCGACGACGGGGCAAAACCAGGTGGTCGTACTTGAAGTGATACAGGTAAGCAGATAGTGATCACAATAACAATGATGATTTGCAGATTAATCGATACATTTGCGCAGTATAGAATATGACATATGTAGATAACGATGCGTTTTGATATCATTTGTTGTGGCGGTCCATGACCATAATTAGTAGGCTAAGATAATATTGTTTTATATGTCTATCTATCCGTATATGATATTACGCAACAACAACGAATACAAGTAAATAGCTAATTAATTGTGATGATTATGATGCTGATGAATGCTATAGGTACCACAAAACGCAGATGGGACAGGTGGTGGACAGATACAACAGCTACGGGCCGTTGACGCCAGGAGCACGTCGGGAGGACGGATGCTACAGACAGCAGATGGCAATACTCTCATTATTCAGCAAAATGGAGATGGGACGACGACACAGCTACTTCCACAGGGAGAACTTCTACAATTGGAAGAAGGTGCCGATGACCTCCTGGGGAAGGCGTCCCAAGAAATTAAAAAGATGGCAGCCACTCACGACAGCGATAAACAGAAGGACGTCGAAGAATGTTTTGGTTTTGGCAATGTACGAGACAGCACAAATATTTTTTTATAGAAGCATGTTTACTCCCATCTAAATTCCGTTTGTTAGCGACTGATTGGATTAAATAATTTTTGCGACACAGCTCAGAGTTATTCTGTTCGAAAAGCAGGCAGTTAGTAGTGTCATTTAAAACGAAAAATTTTCCTACTTCAGGATGCCGACGAAGATGAGGCGATCCTCTCGTTACCCGCAGGAGGTGCTGCAACCCGCGCCGAACTCCAACAACTACAGCAGCAAGTGCCACAGGGGGGACAGATTATCCAAGACTCCGGTGGACAACAATACATTATTGTCCAGCCATCTAGCCAAGGCATGTAGATCGCCCTTTTGAAGAACTCAAGCGAACCTGATCTAACTATTACCTCAACATCCCTGCCACGATTTGCCGACCCGACTGGACCAAATAGAAAAAAAAATTAGGATACCTTCTAATCAGATGTTCTAACTACAGAAGCTTCTATATCAGTTATTTGCCCCAAACAAATTTTGCTCGTAAAAGTCAAGACTGAACGGAGGTGCTTGCTATAGGCGCTAAATGATGCTGGGTTTCCTTCAAGAAGTTTCCAGTGGGTACCACCTCGCAGGACGCTACCACCGGACATGATGTTAACACATAGGTTTTTGTCAACATTTTATTATACCACCTGTAGCGCTGTTTTCTCTTACAGCAAGTAATTTTTTTAGGTAAACAAGCGCCATTTGTGGTGACTGGTACCAGCCATCGACAAGGTGAAAAAGTTTCAGATCATGATCGGAAGTCTTGGGAAAAGTATTAATCGCACATCAGTTATGTATGAAGAAAGGGCCTATCAATGTCTGTAGTATGAAATTTGAAAAATCACGATGTATTGTGATGTAGTCGGTCAATTGTGTAAATTTGGATTATTTATCGTTTTCCTTTTTTTGTTTAATTAAGCAATAAAATATCGTTATAGATATCGTTACTATTACTATCATTTTTTAGAAGTGCATACTTAAGTTGCGGTAGAGCTTGCTCTATAATATTTTGTGCATATGGATAACGAACTGATTTACACACTTACCTTTAAATGCTGATGATCAAAAGAGAACCAATAAACATACAGACCGTCATTTGTCATCAGTTAAACGTAACCAATTTTCAAAAAATTCAGTACCTATCTATTCCGTATATATTATAGTGACGCCTATACTCATATCTATATACGTAAGACACTGCCTGAAAGATGTAATAGCGTCGTCCCACACGGGCAAAGCGTACTTAAAGGCGCAGATAAGAAATGTAGACTCCGATAAGGGTGAATGGTAATTCATCGCCCAAAAATCGAGTTTAAATATGAGTTATGCGATCATTGATGGACGAAAAATATGTGTACAGACAATCGTGTATATATCATTTGACGGTCACGTCGAATGTCTTAGTGAGTCTGATATGTCTGTCGAAGTACGATGGGAAGAAAGTTCCTTCAGTGTGAAAGGTAGAAAGAGAAAAACGGGAAACCATGGATGTCACAGATTGATGAATAGGCGTCAATGGCTCGGACGTTTCGAAGTGTTGCAAAATGTGCTTCGTGTGATGTAGCTTAAGCGATGATGAGCAAATAGTCTCTCATAAAAATATCATCTTCATGATCGATGTCTGGGAACATCTAAGCGAGTTATGCGAAAACTATGATGAAACTAATTGGAATGGTTGAGCAAATTTCGAGTCTGGGGCTGATCATATTAACGATCTTAGCCACAGTGGACGACATTAACTCGAAGCGTTAGCTACGTAACCGACCGCATGAGCATCAAATGGAAAGTGAAGGTTCATTGTAATTTGAAAATACCTTGAGTTACTATTACACTATATGAAAAACACAAATTACCTGTGTGCTTATTTGCTCGTAGATTATTCCGAAGACTGATTGCAGCAGTTCTTCACCAGAGAGGTAGAAAGCTTCATTTATTTAAATAGAGAAATCGGTCATACCTAAAATAAGCAGCGCGTTCGCTTCCAAACTAAATGTCATGCTTTGATCAAAAATCGTGAACCCATTTATTATCGGTGCATTCGTTAAAGACTCACCTACGTCATGATCTGGCACAGTCAATTTCCAAAAAATACCAATTAAATACACTTATCGATTTGGTCTCACAGAGTCAAGTTTCTTTGAACGGACCAGTGCTAAAGTATATATGCACTGATCGTTTTCTACGAACAAGTTAGTTCTCTATAAAAATTAGAAGAAATGTTTGTTTGCTAAGGAAAAGTTGTGGATATAATGAATGAGGAACTATTGACATATTACGTCAGAGGTGAGAGGAAACCGTAGTAGCAAACGCAGTATACTCCAAAACCATGTTAAACGAACTCGATCAAGCATATGCAGTCATCCATAGCTACCCATAATAGATAAATACAGTGCATGTGTTGGCGATGCCATCACGGCACGTGCTAAAACGGACACTTAGCTTTTCTTGATACTATATATGTTGTGCGTTCCCGCCAAACTGAGTTAAGCGGAAAAAAATTGCCTTATTATTGAATTGCTGCCTAATAGACAGTAAACGGCTTTCAGTTTCATATACACCTGGAATTCAGTAGCCTATGTAATATCGTTTAACGCAGCCACTTTTATAAAACACGGCTTGTTTTGGAACAGTGAGCGATAGGCGAAATTGGGGTAAAAAAAGACCAGGTGACTGTTTCTCCTACCCGTTATTGTATGTCGACAAACGTGCGATACAATGTGAACAAATGCTTCGCTCTACCAATCAGGTCTACTCAAATCCGCAACTTGGCACAACAAACTCGAATTGCACCAAATCTCCAAGCTCCATATGTCTCAACAGTACTGCAGATTTTATACTGTTGAAAAAAGAAATGGTAATACTACTATGTTTCGAAATCAGTATTCTTTCGGTGGAGCAAACACAGCAATCCCTATGGATCTGGTATTATATAGCTCGGCCAATACCTGTATAACAGTTGAATTTTAGTCTACCTAGGTTTATAAGTGATAACTTTTTATACTTAGAGAAAATACAAAGGGCTTTTGCTGTGTCTCTCGATACGTAGTAGATATCGTACACATCACGGTACGTTTCAGCTGTAAATTATCGGTGGCCAATTCGAAAAGGGATCTATCATAGAAGACAACACTTCTTTCCTTACATATTAATTCCTATAAATACCTGAATCGCCTTAAACAGGTATCAGCAATTAGGTTTTTGCTGCACTGTCAGATTCAATTTCAACGGAACGAGTAAACAGTCAATAGTATACATCTAAACATACCTGGACTATTGCAGCCCAGTAACTCGCTTTCTGTGATAGTACAGGGCGAAAAGCTCAGTGGTGAATGGTTCTAGTAGAAGCAGCTACCTTGTCTAAACCGCCACTAGAGGTATGCTTAAATGCATTTTATACAGCGGCGCCGTTTTATTGATCAATAACTATTTTTTTACGCATTATCGCTTCTTGTAGTTCATCCCAATATATTTTGAGCTCCTTCTTAGAAACATGGGTTTACCTCGACCTATTAGGAACGTAGTCTGCTTCATTTCAGAGTACAACAATCAGAATATAATAATATCTAAACATGATAAGTGACGCTTTTATTAGCAATAAAGATGCTCTTCTTTTTTAAAATTTTCAGGTCTATTCTCATATCACAGACGGTGTTGATGACGACACTATGACTTAGTGTTGAAATGTTCGTTCGTACATGCTTGATCTGAAGACTAGATTCTACAGAACGGGTGCGCAATTGAAACGGCAAATTTTTATTGTACTTGGTTTTGATCTTTGCATTTTTTTGTGCTTTTCGTTGAGCCTGAGGTTTACTTTGACTATCCTGCAGAGCGATGGTTTTGTCCAGAGATAAATTCATCCTTATGACAATTATGGTTAGTTGTTTTGATTTGCGTCTTTCAAACTTTTCGGCAAAATTTTTGCTTTTTTTTTTTATTGGCAACGGTCTCGTTGGTGCATTCCACCTAAAATGCATAACAAATAAGATAACTGGGTCTAGTTGTAGCTGCTTAGTATTATAGATTAGGGGGAACTCTGTAGGTTGTAACGAAGTCAATATATGCGACGTTACCTCCATAATTGTCCTTTAGTGGCGTACTTAAGCGTTAAAATTGATTTCTCTTCCGACAAAAAATGTTTGGTTTTGTTGCAAACAAATCTTGAATATAAGCAAGTCCAAGGGCAAACATTTACTTGTGAAATAATTGCAACAAACGAAATATAAGAAACTTGAAGCAGATGGACCAGGATGTCATACCTTGAAACAGCTGGGCTCCCCGAACACGAACGAGTAGCGTTGACCTTTGTATCGACTAATGATTACGTCACACCGGTACGTGTTTGAAGGCTGACCCTTTGGCGTGACGATGTATGTGAATGCATGAGCAGAACGCTGCAAAACCTGTAGTAGTATAATAAAAAAAATAGACGATACTAGAATTTCACAGATATGTGCTGAGCTGAGAACGCTGAAGGTTACTAAATAACGAAGTTCTCATTCGCACAAAGTGAGGATTATCTTGAATGCCTTCTCGTCGCGGCGCTGCATCTACGTGCACTCTAATAGACCACTTGGATCAAATAAATCATTCAGTTTGTGTACTTGGTTTAGTCTACTGAGCATTATGGAGATACGTACACTAGGTGTGCTATAACGGAATAGTTCCATATCAGATTCTGAGGTGATCAGCTGCGGATACTTCTGGGCTAGTGCTTCCTGCGCCACTTCCTGGGCTTCGTGACGCCACTCCATCTCATCTCCTTGGCAGGTGATTATATGGAGGAAGGTTAAGATGTTTAGGATAGCTAAAAATACGTACCCATGACGACTCATACCTGGTATTGTATTTATCTGCAATTTATATAAGAACTTAAGTTCAGCTGCGTTTTTTTTTTGCTTTACTCTTATTCCGCAGTTCTCTTTTGTAAGGTTCACCCAATTGCTTATTCAAAATATAAGCTCTTGTTCGAGGGGTCTCCGCTATTATTATTATATTTCGCTATCAACAATTTCCATGTCACATAGCAACGCGTATCATTTTAATATACAGCTCATTTTCTCTTAAGCCTTTCTCTACGTCTATCAGCCTATTTTAGGGAGCAAATTTAGTAATTCAACCCTGTCAAGCAAGTACTTGTTTATTCAATGAGTCTCTTTTCTGACACTTTCTCTTTTAAAGCTTTTAAATTTCCTTTGCGATAAAGACACATGTATATATACGAAACACGAGGTCACCTTATGTACGTATGCCACCAACTTTGTAGTGCTATTACGTCTTCTCGCCGCGCACCTTTGGTGTCTGGCGATGGCAACGCTTGCGTTATCAACAAACAACGTCAATCAGCTAGTTTGTACGTACGTTTCAGCTAATGAGTAAAGGCAGATAGTCTGACTAGTCCGATCAAGTAGGACTGCTTTGAGTCACGTCAAGCGTCTTACGATATTCACCGGTTCGTTAGAGCGAGCAAAATAAACGGTGCTCACCATCACTAATGGATTAATGCAGCTAATAAAAAAAAACATGACGGCAATTTTGTCGAACGGCAAACACTTACTTTGAGGGTAAGGAGGCCGTGGTTGACAACGGAGAGACGAAACGAGTGTACGGGAAACATTTGGTTACTCTACCCAAGATGACGGAATTCAAGCCAAAGCAAGAAAGGGCACCAGACCGCAAAGTGCGATTATTTCTTCTAAAAAAAAGCTGCTCCCTTTTTCTACTGCAGGACAGAATACAACGGTGAAAAAACTACGTCATATCTGTGTAAACGTTGCGAGCACTGTGGAAGAAACTCGATTGTGTGCAATGGTCGAAACGGTCAAGGCCTCAGCCAGCCCGTAATTATGTCTTCTCGAAAAGGGGGATTTAACAGAACGACGTCCGGTTGATTTTTCATTTAAAATCGGGACTTTGCTCTACAGAATAAATCCTTCATAAATATGGCGTTAAGAGAAATACGCACGAATCTCCATCTGCGTCGTTTAGGAGAATCGCTACTGGAAATTCTTCACGCTGCCCCTCCTTAAAAAGTGTGAAAGGTCAAAATATAAGCGAATAACCGAAACTTACGCAGAACACACACGGATGTCTCTCATAGCATAATGTAACTGATTTGCTAACGCAACTAGTTTATGATTTCCTCAAAAGCACGCTCTTCTTATGGACTGCCAACATAAAAACAAATTGTGAGATAAACTTTCTTAAAGTTGGAAAATATGTACGTTTTACTTTTTGTAAAGCAATTTATTCATTTATTACTACCAAGGTCCACTGAATTGGCGATTTAAGTAGGACATTTATGGAAGCAATGATTATTTATTATTATATATAAGAGTTCACGTTTGCAAGGATCTGCAAAGAATGACTGTACGGCGTTATGTACATCAAACAAAGTACACCTGAGGACTTATAAAATGACCGCAGAGGAAAGGGTAAAACCTTTAGCGGACAATTTTAAAAGTGAACAAGAATGAAACAATATATCTGTGGCTGTATCAGTCAATCAAAAAGTATCAGTCGCCTTTGGGGAACGCTAATTTATATCGGTTATTTCTGTCAATTTTTCACGTCTGAAACAGTTCAGCTGGGCCACTTTCCTCGTCCGTGCACCATACGACCCGTATAGGCCACCTCATTGCCATCTGTTGCTGCGTATTCATTGCTTCACTGTTTCAAGTGCATTTGTTACTTACTCAGGAAAAATTAGCGATCGGGCCAATAATTTCGTCAATAATTTACCGCTTTTATCAACTGTTTGTTAAAAAAAAAAGCTAACAATTTTATGTCGTTTTAGGACTTTGAGAGCATAGGCCGCATTTTTCAAATTACTATATTGCTTATTTCGCTCAGAGGCGTCCATAATTTTTTAATCAAATTGTAGGTAAAGCGCATCGCTAGGTAGTTCACATTGCTGTGACGCTTCATTGAAGAAGACGGTTGACCGAGTGGCTTCATTTTGAAGGTCTGTAGCGCTGTACACGCCAATCAATCTAAGCTTGCTTGTTTTCTAAACATTTGCGTTCTGATTATAGAACTGATCGACCTGCTGAGTCACAGAATCGTCGCTTTCGATTATTAGCATAGCGATAAAGTTGCTGGAAAGACCACGAAATACACAAAATTGCCAAACAGAACCCGCCTTCCGCTCGAAATTGACGGTACCTTATTTGTTGCTACCCAAAAGTATCTGGTTTCCACCCTTTCTACCGCTCATCTGACAGCTTTATGCGGTGAAAGCGCAATATTGTAATGGTCAAGTTGTCGGTATTTTTAGAACTGGTTGCCGAATTCGTACGGTTCTACGTAGTGTTTGCTGACAGTAAGCACCCTGAGAGATAACGCAGCACTATGAGGGCATTTACTAGTAATGTACTTCGTCCATGCAAAATGTGTTTCAAAATTTCTCCTTTGAAGAGGATTAGGGATAATGCTGATTATTAAAAAAACTGTTCCGACTCCTTAATGTTTACGATAACGTCCAGGTTATGTTTGGTCGGTCTGTAGCAGACTTGCCGGTTTAAAGCAAAGCGCACGATATTTACACAGCGGCAAAATATCCAGCAGTTTATGCGGATTATTGATCAATTCATAACTTGAAAACATGCATCTTAGCGGTAGTTTAGTATGTCATACTAAGCAAATACGTCAAGTATTTGTCTGAGAGTGTTGTTAACTAATTTTCACAAATTTATGGATTAACGTTAGGTTAGATTCAAGTTTAATTTCAAATGCGTCGCAATGGGCTTGCTTTGCTATTAACGATTCTCTCCGGACGGGGTTTCCACAGATACAAATTAATCAAAAAGGAACATCGAAACTTTACTTGGATCCAAACTATACCACGGATTATCATTATCTAAGCATTAAACGTTAAAATTATCTTCATTAGCACTTGAGTTGCTGCGGCGTTCGTATAAGTAATAAAACAGAATTGTCTTATAAACTCAATCTGCTTTTTGTCAGACAGTATACCTCAGTAGTACCTATAGTAATTTATTATATTAAAGTAAAAATATGTGACAGTCTACGATTTTTATATGTACCTATATTTCAATATTTGTACATTGAGAGCACGAATAGCGTGCAACTAAGTGTCTACTTGACAAGAAATGAAAAAAAATCGTCATACATTTTATACTTACCGTCTTCTTTTGATAGAATGGAATTTATGTTAGACTACTGAAGCTAACAAAGCGAAGAAGTGCTCTGGTGTTATTTCTAAAGCAATAAGTAAAAGGGCCGAAAAACTAGAAAGGGGAAGCAGGAAACAAAAACTGAATTAACATATTACATCGCTGACATCTACGTATAGGCAATGAGAGCCAAGATCACAAGCATTGTAAAAACTGTAACTTTGTACCATTCAAACCAAAGTCTTAACGTCGTAGTCGCCTATTGACCACTCGGCCCCTAATGCTCCTCGGGGCTGTGGCTCTGTTGCCATTTATATGTCGTTTTGTTCCTGTTACTTATCTTTTGAATGAATACTCGTCCGCAGAGCTGACAAATTCTACCCTTTTCCAAGAATAGGAAACAGACGAAGGTATACGACGCGCTACTGCTGCTATATATCTTGTCCGAGCTGTTAGGTTGCCGAGCGTTCGAAGGGAATTTGCCGAGTCTAAGAAAAATACCGAACTAACAATCTTTCAGTCAAATTCATCCTTTTATCTTCGTTGCTTGCGTCCGTCTGTCTGTGATCAGATCTTTTTTCCATCTGATGGAGGTCTTTTTATTGTTAATAATCATACTCCAAGTTTTAGTATCAGAAACTGTTAAGCGTACGTCATTCTATGCTTATAAGGTACTTGCAGTTTAAAAATGAATGCTGAATTATGCAGGTGAAATTAAATGTGCCCGCAGTAGCTGTTAACAAATTCATGACGGGTGTCATATCCACCGCATCCTATTATTGCAATCTTATACTGTTCTCTAATGTATAGTAAGTACTTTATAGAAGCCTCAAATGACACTGACTGAATGGGTTATATGTAATCCAAAAGAAGTTCTAGACTTTCGTCGTAATATAAATAATGTTCTACTCACAGAACCTTGTCGCACATGTCGTTGGCTGAATGTAAAGCTGCAGTGATCCATGAATAATTTCGAGCTTTAGGTTCAATACTGCCGTCAGGCATTGTACTGTATCGCTGTCGTTTCCTGTCACAGAGCAAAGTGAGTACACGTGCGGTCTTGAACCTAACTCATCACGTGTTTTAAAGTTTAGTAAGCAAACATATTATCGTCGCATTAACAAGAGGGTAGTAGCAACTCCTGGCCTCTCGAAGAAACATCTAGCCTTTTTAGATACTGCGTCACGATTAATTAATACTTTTACAAATTGTCGTTTACACAATTATAATATAGGTATTATATAAATTTTAGCCCTGCTTCAGGTCTTTCCTAACTTCACAGTCGAGCTTTCATTTATTTCAGTGTTTCCACTGGTTTGCCACTCATGTAAAACTTTCAAAAACTAAAAATATCAGAGACATGTGATATTCAAATGGCGAAATGAACGCAGGGCAATGCCCACGTTTAAATTCAGCCGGCAAGATTCTCATCGCTTTAAATCCTACCTACCAACACTAATTTGTTAGCAGTTTGCCCAGATGGATGCCGACAATTGACTTGCCAAATTCAAAGTGCTTGTGAAATCTGATCTATTATAGACGTACACTTATGCTGCTTTCACCCCATTAAAAACGATACGCAAGACTTTGGGAAGTATGTATGTCGATCCGTGGCAAAAATGGCGCCAGTCGAGGTGTCATTAGGTTTTTCAATAATATTCATATAAATACGGATGACAGGAACAATAACAACTAATATAATAGCAGAAATGATATATTCTGCTTAATTGAGCTACGTGAATATGGATGTTTGGTAGGCGGACTTGGTGTCAAGTCCACACAGGCACTGAAAGATCATGTGAATACTAATGCGAGGATTAAACCGCTTTCTTCATGACTAGATTAAACCGAGATTCGATAGTCTGGGCAAGTTTTGGTAAAATTTATCTAGAATTATTATTAGCATTGTTATTGCAGTCATGCTTGGTTCAAGGTGAACTTTTCCTGCTAAATCAGTCTCCATACATCATTAAATTAACAACAACAATGGAAATAGTAATATGAGCAATAATAAAATTCGACGGCTAACACTCACTCTAGAAGTGGTGGAGCAGTCTCTTAATAAGCTGTTTCCAATGGCCTATAATGACGTCATGCAGCTTTTCTATCTACGGGAAGTGCAATAAGTAACATACGCGGATGATAAGGCCTTCGGAATCCTAGTGCAAGAAGAGAACGGTTCAAAGAGAAGAACGGAGATTATTTCAGAGAATGCTTAAGGGATGAATAAATGCGCAATTTGTTTGTGCTACAGGTATGAATCAAAATCGATGGGCCCAGCTTGTCTTCACTTTATAGGGTAGAATCCGGCGCTTGAGCGTTATGGTGGATCGAGTCATCGCACGAAGTGCCGATATCGGCGATGTGCCTGTGCAGGTAATAAAGTCGCTCTGCCGACAACAACAAGTAACGTCACCAGGTTGTGAAGTTGGGTAGCCAAGTCCACTGTTCTGCGCCTATGGGAAAGCCTACCACGGTGAGACAGGACTATGGCAAAGATTCTGAAAGTACAGCTACCCTTAGCAATAAAGGTGGCGAAGGTCTATGCAACGTCAGAAAAATATGTTATAATTGCTCTGGCATGGCTGATAGACTAGCCAAGGCTTACTACAGAAAAAACCAATCTGAGCAACAAGTCAACGTTAGGAAAGGCAAAAACAAGCGACTAACATTCGAGGGAATGGCAGCAGGAATGGAACGTTCTACCATAGTACTCTTTAGGATCGCGGTCATGCCACGTGACCTCTAACTTGCAAATTCCAAGGATGCAACAGGATTTAGGGCGCGGCGGCGTGCTAGCTGTTACGAGCCCTGACCGGGCACACGAGCTTCCAAATGTATTTGTTCGAAATAAAGAAGGCTAAAAACACCGCATATATGCCATGAACCGTAAGTGTGGTCGACGACGTACACCATTTTCCATTATAACCGAATTTGCCGGCAAAGGATTCGATGCGCTTAAAATGACTTATGGGACTGTGAATGAACTGGTTGTTATTGACATGGCGTGAAGTGACCATCAATTGAATACTATGACCAACAGCGAGAATATACAAGTGTGAGTAATGGACACAACGAAGAAAGTGATAAAGAGAAAAAAAACCGGCTAAGGGAGAAAGGATGACAATCACGGACGGCCGCCCGCTACGCTGGCAGACTCAACTAGGATGAAAATTACTAAAGCTCTCAGGATAATCTAAGTCGATAGCATCTAGATTAAGATGGTCATTCCTCTACACTACCGAAATAATCTGCAAACGGTCCCGACGAAAATGGGCAGAAGAAACTGATGTTGGCGATGATGGTGACGACGAATTCCACATTTCTAACAAATTCCTACGCACGATGACTAGCGTAGTGAATCTTCTATAATAATATTATCTTTGTTTGGCGAATGCTTTACTAGGAAAATGGTAAAAAGTTGCTCTATAAATATATTATTATACTATAATAACTTTATAATCATGCTGAAGATACGACAATATCTTTGCGTCCGAAATCTAGTTCAGGGTCATATTACGTTGTTCAGCACATTAATTTGAGTGGCCGAAAAACCGTATGAACAAACCACATCAAAAATATATGATTGACACACCCGGGTACATGCTTACCTCACCGAAACTATATATTTTAGTAGACACATACACTATTTGCTTTTGAATAAACAAGTCAGTTAAATAGCTTTTGACATTTGCCAAGTAGAATGGCTCACATCGCATTATTTATGTTTTCCACTTAAACTAATATAGGTTATACCAACTTTATATCACTGCACTCCTGGGGTAAATACATGTACCGATTACGATGAAATTATTTTGCCTTTATTATGCCATCACCGCTCTTTTGTCTGATACAAGCGCAATCAATGTACCGGAAGCCCCGTCGATGTACTGGATACGATTATACGTCCGTAGGGACTCTCCAAGTTTAAGCAGCACATGCTGAACCATTCGGGCGAATGTTCACATCGTAGCTACAACTTGGCGCATACCTTCAAACTTTGCGGACATAAAGGTACGATAGATTAGTTAGTTGAGTAAGAATTCCCGCCTATTAACAGCATGCAAACAGCAGATTTAGCGATTGTGTGCGACCACAAACAGTATTCAACAATATAAATAAGATTGTTTGGGCTGTAGTTGCTTTGCATCTCATACATCATCATCTTTTAGTCACTGAACCCCCTTGCGGCATCGTTTGTATCAAATGACGACTACACGATCGCGGACTGTGATAGTAAATATTAGATGAAAAAAATACAGATATATATACCCCCCTTAATGCAACCATTTTGTGATAGGAACATCTGATTTACTTGTTCCAAAAATAAGCGAGTGAATAAATAGTTAAAGCGAACATCATGTATAATGTGTTGGATCTTCAGTATCTCTGCGAAAAATTAACTTCCAAGCCAACTCAGTATTACCAGGGTGTGATTATCTGAGACCTTTCTTTAGGCGTTCTTGACAAGAATTATCCACAGTCATCTGCTACAGCGGTCCGATCGTAAATAAGAATAATTTTTAAACAAGTTGAGTTCGATCTCTGTTGCCGAAGACGGCTCTCCGATCGACGAAACGAAGTATTGAAATGCTTAATTTTAAAATGTCATAAAACTTCATCTACAAGATGAAATGATGGTAAAAATGGCAAACAGTTTCTCGAAAACTGTAGCAGAGTTTCTACTAGTCATTATAAAAGAAAGCATACGTATATACGATGCTAGTTAACAGTACTTCAAGCTTATTTAAGTGTTCTAAAACGAACACGCACTTCTTACGGCAAGTCCGTTAGACCTGCTAAGTTTTTTTTCGATATTAGTATGAGATTACAGACTTGACTGATAAATAATTGCGACTCTATGGATTAGTTTAAATGGTCATCGTACTACAAATGTTTAACATTTCGCTTCATTGTGGGGGTGGGGGTGGGGGGGGGGGGGGCTATTACGGTCCCACAACATCGAGTGTCCTCATACTGACAATGGCCTGGTCCTCCTTCAAAGCATCCGTTGGAAATCACCTAAAATAATCGGAGGCTTCGACAAGGTTTTATTTGTCTTTTTGCTTATGGATGTATGGCCATTAAACCAATCTGACGTGTTCTTCCGGTTTATAACGTAAGATTCATACAATGATTATTCTCATGAATAAGTCTACAGTCAAAAAATTTGTTCGTATATCGCTAGTAACACTAGAAGTTATCACATTTGGAGAAGCAGGAAGTGAGATTGCTCTTGCAGAAATAATTATAGAGCACATATAGAGCGATTCCTGATCTTTATGTTGCAGGTGATCTCACTCAACGCGTTTAAACATGAACTAAACAAACTTTACGCATTTAGAAATTTCCCGAGTTATGTCATTAATATCTCATTGTACTTCGTCCAAAAGATACTACCTGAAAACATTCGATAGCTCAGTCTACAGCATTAGTACCAGCAGGTTTCACTTGGATAAAGAATTAATTTAAAGTCGACTAAGCGTTGACGATTGTCTGGAAATTTTGTGACAATTCGTATTTGGGACTTATCGGGAATACTTTGAAAAATTACTCGGTTTACTGTAAGCTTGAAGTGCATGCAGATGCTGCTTTTCTAAATGTTCTAAGATGAAGATGTTCTTAATAAATGGATAATGATTCCAAAGACTGCCATACGTACAAAGGTCTTTGTATGTAACTTACAGAAAGTTGTGTATTTAAAATATCCGCTGAACTCAGGGATACAATATTGAGCACAGAGCGTCAATACATTGTAAAACAGTTTGCAACATATGTCCATAACACGTTCTCACGTAAAGCTGAACACAGAATCGTTTCTTACAATAAATGACAGTGAGCTTTTTTGCAGTTATGCTGAAATAAGTAATACGACTTGAATAAGTAATACGCTGCAATAGGTTAACGACTTATCCAAATAAATTATTTTATTATTTAAATTGTCAGCATCGTGAAAAAACCAAAAAGTAAACCAAAATAAAATTTGTTCTTAAGTTAGTGAAAGCTAGAGGTACTTTTTAACTGAGTGATACAATAGTCATAGATTTGTTTCGATCCTTCAAATACAACCTGCGACTATAGCACAAAGATTCCTTTGTGAGATGATGGCCTATTTGTGTAATAGTACTTCAGTTATATCACACCTTGTTCCGTACCTTAGCTATTCTAGAAAATTGACGATAAGACTTTTTTCTTTTAGTTGTTCCGTCCTGTCTTTAACACTTCCGTGTCTTATCCACTTAACCCTTATTACTGCTATGTATGTTTTCTGAATCAAGGCGCCTCTACTTATGGATTATCAGTAAATCTCGTTCCAGAATTTTTGCAACTACTTTTCTATGATTCTAATAGAAAAACGAATTCGAGTGATCTATAAACTTGTTTGTCGTATGATCGAAGCTGCCTACATAAATAAGGGACGCATCGGGTTTTTCTTTATATATACGCCTTTATTTATTCCTATGACAACTTCCTATACACAGGCGAAACGATATTTATTACATTTTTACGAACATTATGATAATTTTCTTCATCAAACAGTGAAACAGGTCGCGTATAAAGGAGACTATGCTTTACGAGTGTCCTTAGAAAGCTTGATTCAGAAGAAGCCAAACTATTTTCTACTTGGTAGAGCCACAAAAATCCATTCAGTCATAAAGAGCTGCGCACCGTGTAACAGAAATGTTCCGCGCAAGAAATTTACAGTTTTACAAGCCGTGAAGATCCACCAAGGATCGAATGAAAACGTTTGTTATCCCGCGATTCGCTTGATCATCGTGTGACCTGTTAAGTGCACAAAAAGGTCAATGAGGTACGCGGCGCTGGAGAACAGAGCCGTTTCGACTTCCCATGCCATTGGCACAAGGCGCTTTATATGGTTGTCAGTCTTGTCCTTGGCAAGCGATAACGTTTATACACACTCGTTCGCTGGAGCAGAGTTAACTCGTTTGGCAAATGTTTGCGAGACGAGCAACGGAAAGGCAATGGATGCATCCACGCATACCTAGCCGAATGGAAGGATAAAATATACTTTTAGGCCTACTAGCTGCAATACGGTCATTGAGCCATCCACTACAGCAAAATCCCCGACCCATAGAACAACGCTAAATGTTGAACCTATGTTGGCAATGTTTCATAATAACTGGAGACAAAGCATTATAAGAGGTAGCATTATTTACAATTGTCTATAGGTAATAATTATGTGCATAATTTTGTATGCATAAGGACTTTTTTCATAGGTTCTCTTAGAAGATCGATTTGAGGCTACATAGTACCCACATGGGGTGCTTTTACCTTAACGGGCTGAGCTGCCGCCTTTATTTTTCCCCATGACACGGCTTCATCTGGAGACGCTCCAGAATCGCTTCCTAAAACGGCCATAAAAGCTAATTAATATTGTTAGCTTTTTAGACGCACCAAAGAGACAACCATTTTTCAGGTAAGTAAAATTTCATTACTTACGACATTTTATTTAATATGAGAGACTGCAATGGTGTTATCTCGAAATACGCCTTTCTAAAGACATCAAAATATCAACCAATCGGAAGCAAGAAGTCACCACCTAATAGCCTGAGTTACACACTGGTACTTCACTGCAACGAAAAAGTTAGGTTTCATATTGGGTAGGCTATGCTTAATTAAGCAGACCGGGGTCTATGTATGCTAACTCAACATTCATCAAGACAACTGTAAAACCAGAGAACCTAGTCACATACCATCAAATTCTTGTCCCGTATTAATATACACAGCAAAGTCTGCTCCGTTCCGCATCAAGTTAGCGTTGCATATGTGGTGTTTGACGACACCACCGCCCAAAATTAGCATACCGGAGTGCTCGGCCTTAACAGCCATTGAATTTATTCGACGGATGTCTTGAACGAGATCAACAACGAGACCAGGACTACGGAAGCTATGAAAGTACAACATATCACCGATGCTCCCTATAGCCACAAAATAAAAATTGACGAATAGGAAGAACTGAGTTAAATGGCATTATAGTAATTACCAGTGTACAAGACAAACTCCAAACAGTTAAAAACGTTTGACCTCAAAAAGTACACCAAAAGTTTCAACAAAGTTATCAATTGCGTCAAGTCTACAAACCGTCAGTAATTGCTGGGCAGAACACTGGAATCTGATTTTTCTGAGCCCAGTAATAAATTGAATCCGTATGAGCAATTCGCTCTCCGAAACGCGCAATCATTCGACTGGGACTCCAGGTAATACCAGTGTTTTTCTGCTCTTCAAGCATTTCGTCTAAAACAGGCATAATCCAGTCTTCGAATTTGCAGTAATTATCATTTGGTGCAAGCAAGTTGCCTATCCGGTTGATCCCTAAGAGTCAATGTATGAAAGTTAAAACGTAAATGGTTCGATTAGGAACTTTGTTAACAAAATGAATAAGTGTCACTTTACGAAAAACTTTATCAACAACGATTGTACAAAATCAGGAGAACTACTTTGATGAAATGAAAATTAATTGAAGTTAATAATATGAAGTACATTAACCTTTGTTCCGTAACTCCTGTCCTTTAAGAGAGAATTCCCCCAGGTAAGTGGGTGCCATGCATTTGATGAGATCCTCTTCGACGCCGCCAGCTGTCGTAACTAAGCAATCGACCTGCAATGGAGATTTTGTATTGTACATATTGTAAATAAAAATAAATAAATACGCACGCATGCCAAAGTATATTATTTAGTTCAATATATAATGTAGTACTTAAAGCAGCAAACACCACAATTAATACGCAGATGGACAGCAATGTTTCCATGTGCGAATAATTATTAGACAAAAACACAAAACTGAGACAATTTTTTTTCATATTTAGTCATTTGCTTAACATTTACTTATACGATACGCACATTTGTTTGACTAAACGTGAATACATGTTCGTCGATGATCATTTCATTCAGAATTACGCCAATACGGATGATTAGCGTTACCGTACTCTCGCTTAGTGTGTTGAATTATGTTTATCGAAATACGGGAGGGTTAGACCACAATACATACCAGTTTGTGCTGTGCGAGAAATCTTATGATATCTCTAACTCCGGCAGAACCCATATTCGACGTGTACCCGAAGAAAATAGTACAGCTTGTCTTGCGTCTAATAAACGGATCTTCCTCAAGGGTATCTAGCTTATCATCTGGAAGAGGCCGTTCACGGCAGTCGAGCTAGAGCACGCACAAAACAATGAATAATTATTATACAATACACGTAGATGATTGGCTTTATTGTGCAGAATCTCTATCATCGTTACGACAACTAACGTTATTCTGAAGAGTATTATATTTCGGTTTATATAGCCGATAAGCAACCGGTGAACTTGGAAAGGTCTGAGTTTTACCTCCGCTATCGGAACTAGGCATTGCTTCACACGGCTAGCTTTTGGAATGACACTATGTGTATCGTCGTCCGGTTTCAAAGTTAAGCTACCTCATTAGGTGCCCCAAGTACTATGAGCAAAACCGCATTTCCCAGCGGATCAGATAATTACTAACTTAATAAAGCATAACCTTTACAAATAGATACCAAAAAGGCAGCATGTAGATTGAAAGAATTGCACGATTTGTTGGAGATAGTAGATTAAAATTTTACGATGCAAGCATTCAATGGTAGACTTTTATAAAAAAAAAAAGATTCGTAAGTTGTACATACATTCACTCAATCATACTACGTGTTTTATATTAAATACAAATGATATCTTTATTTTGCAAAAGCGCAACTTAGTTTTCTTATTACACGAAAATGGTTCTACGTTAGGGCACACATTTAATAAACACCAACTTTAATTGAAAAACAGCTGTGGATGTAAACCTTGGGAAGATGAGAATGCTTATACTAACCATTTTATTGACTTCATTAATTGCTCTGGCGAGCTGGGTTGCTTGGAAACCGGTTGTCATTAGAGAGCTCATAAGAGCATCGAGATCTACTTTGGTATTGAAGTCTGCACCTCGCACCTAAAATCCATAAAAGTATATAGAATCATTGTCAGATATAATTATATAATTACAGCACTATTTACGGCTACTATGAAATACTTCGTATACGAATATGCACCGAAACTAATCATTTTCAAGAATACCCGGCGGCCCAATTCGACTATCGAAATACCCACATAACCTGCCCGCTAGACTGCAGTCTGGCATCAAACAGTCAATAAACATATACTACAGCTGTTACCGTAAATATCTAAAAAAGTTAACGAGGTCAATGATGCTCGGGTTAGAAATTATATTGTTCAAAGGCGATACGTTTTCAGCTGCGCAAGATTCAACAATGGCTAGGCTTCAATCAGAGGCCATGTGATAGCCATGTGTTATGATGGTTGGAAGGCGGGAGCCTCCGGTACAGCTGATCGGGTAATTGTCATACTGCAAACACACTTTTGCTGTCAATTTATACAAGAACGTATTTCAAGCTGAGGATAGGGTTATGTTATTTTTCACTATATTGAGATGGCGTCGAGGTCTAACTAAAAATAAATGAGAGAACGGTCAGGTGCAGTTTTGCCACGTTTCGCCTTCCTCGCTTGGTATCTTCTGTGACTGACGCTCTAAGCACCATTGCCGCTATTGCTACGCACCTCTACACGTTCAGCCACCGGCAGTTCGTCACTTCGTTTGAACAATGCTGTCGTAGCAATTTCCGGAGCGGCCGACTTGGCACGCTTCGCCTTGGGACAATCATCCATAGAATCCTCGTCAAGATGCCACTTGCACTATGAACATGCAGCTTGTATGAACCGAGCAAGATTTCACTATTATTTTTTTTGAATTGCACTTACGCTGCTGTTTCAACATTATGTTGGAGTGGCGCTGCGGCTTAGGTAAAGGAAAACGCGCACTGGGGGTCGCCATTTTGGTTTCAATGAATGTCCCGCAAAGCGCGCCAATGGACAACTGATCGTGAAATCGACAAGACAGCTAATATATTTTTGGTATCTTTTCATGTTCAAATCTGTAGCGTACAATAGGAACTGCACTAAAGGGCACACTGTACATTGTGAACAAAATCTATATGTTGCTTTGCTTAACAAACGAAAAATAGATGCGTGTCTGAATCGAAACCAAATTGAGTTCGTTGTTGAAGAAATCAAACATCAAAAAGGGCCGATAAAACATTTTTAATGAGAAAAAAAAACTTTGTACTAACAACCTGTCTGTATTTCGAGTGTTACGTCCGATATCGCCACTAGGCATTCCATCATACGGTTGTACTACCAACCTGTGAACTTTACTTATATTTAATGTAAGTAGTAGTACACACTTAATTCTGGGCAACACTTCATTATATAGTATATGGTTGAGCATATGGGACAGGAGCTATGTAGGCCACTCCCGTTTTTAACGAGGGAAATTTGTTTCATGAAGTTAATATAATCAAACTTCCAGAATCTTTGAGGTGCACACAGGTCAGAGAGTTTCTGTAATTCGAGAAAACGAAATACTATTAATTGTCAGCTGTACTGGAAAGGCTAATTTAAGCCGGAGTACAATTCAGCCTATGGGTGTGTGTGTGTATATATATTTTTGTGTTATGCAAAACCAAGGTGTCATCTTTTCATGTTCAATGTACCACATCTTTAAGATTGTTTTTGAGGGAAGTAATTACAATTGTATTCACGAAACACAAATTAAACAATATCCCTCTCAAGCGACAACGACAAAGATGTCTATTTTCTTGTATGGCTCAAACGCCGATACGTCAGCAGAGCAATAAACAATTTCTCAACTCACTAAGCGTCAATTTTTTTTTCTTTTTTTTACATGGACTTACTTGATGTTTTACGTCTACTAACCGAATTCGTTTGACAGCTCAGCGAAAGAAAGTGAAATGGCTGTATGTTTATAGTGTCACGCAATTACTATAAAATCGATGAATGTATTATATATTTTTAAACATATTAAGTCTTTGAGTATATCATACTCCTACGCTATGTTACGCTAAATCGTTTTTGTTGCTATTATTTGCGTTGGAAATGCAATCGAACCTGTATCTTTAGCTTCGTCGCCGCTTCTGTGTCGCTTGTGAACTCGAACAAAACAAAGACCTATGAAACAGAATTCATTTACATAGAAACCTTTCTATTATGGAGCTAGGTAATGAAGCTAGGATGAAACAATTAAGACTACATTGCTTAGACCTGTAGAAAAAGCTATAGCCGCTAGTACTCCGTGCAAGCCCATGCAGAAGTTAGATGCGTTGCGTGGATTAGGTGTCAGCTTTTCTAACAGTTCAGGTCTTCTTACGGCAACCTATGGCCGTTGCGCATAAGACAAGCTTTAACAAAAAAGCCGTCAAAGGTTTTTTCAGTAGTCTCACAATTTTATTTTTTCCAATATATTTAATAGCGACGAGACGTCCTTTCTTCAGGCAATTGATTCTGCAAGGTGACTATCTGGTGTTAAAAAACGAAAAAATTACATGAAAGGTATAGCGCAACATTTGTTGCTGGGTGCTTCGGTGGTTACAAGTAGAAACACAGTTCCACTGTGTTCTGTATTTTTGAGGTTGCATTTCAAGGAACACAAGATTGTGGACGCCTCGCTTGCAGACTAAAATTCTGCAAAAGTTTTCGAACGAATTACAAAGGAAGCGTTTGCCGACTGTGTTAAGCATCCCGTTGCAGTCATTCGCTGGAGATCATTCATATCTTTGCTTAGTACAAATCATCAGCAAAAGAATGACAATCAATACCGTCAGTATCATTAGTGGGTTTCTGTAAATAGATATGTTTCCGTTCAATGAAAGTATATTCATGACAGGTTGATAATCGGTTGGGGCTGTCTGGCTGTTATGGAATGCGATCCCATCACGACGACTGTTTATCACTGCGAATGGCTTTGCTGTTAGTCGTTACCCCATTGCAAAACACGAAGGGACGAAGTTAGTAAATCATCCGTAACTTTTGCCGTAGTTTTTTTTATGATAATAAAGGCCTGTTTCGCCTAGCGGTCCGAGAGAAAAACCTAATTAAATTCAGACATGTTCTCTATTTGAGCGTCAATACATGGTTTCTTTATAAAAACAATATATCAAAGAGCCAGAAACAAAGGAGTCTTTAAATCATTTATGTTTATAAATAGTAACAATGAACAATATATATATATATATGAATGATTGTAAGTCTCTTTTTTGCCACGAGGTAGGGGAGGTTTGACGAATACATTAATACTATTTTTCCTCTTCGCTTGTTTTTGGTGGTTGTGCCCAGTAAATATTGGCCTATATAGTATACAATTGAAAACCTTAACCGCGTATGATACTTTGTTTATAAATTTTTCTTTATAATATACAATGGCTTATGTTAAGTGAAACCTATAGCAACACAAAATGTGTTAATGAGCCAACTTAAGGTTTCGAAGTATTCTCAAACGATTCGCCCTTTCTTTTAAACGACACTTTATTTAAAAAATTATAAGTGTTTACAGATATTTTGTGAGATTTTTTTATGTTTGCCAGCTGTCTGCAGAATGCGGAGGGTTCGTTTTGCTGGTAACTGAGAAAATGGTTGGGGGTCCTGTTTAACGTAATTTTGGACATTTAATCACTTAGGCACCTCTTTTTGTCTCTAAACTAATATTATGTTTTTGTTTTTTTTCTTTCAGTGAACCTTTTCGCACTATTCCCAAACTTCTTATCCTGCATATCTGTACAATAAATTGATTAACAGTTTACCAGTTACTATTCGCAGTAAATGTACTGATGATATCTAGACAAAAGAGAATTATTTCAAGCCTATTCTGAAGGGTTAGGCTACAGTATTATGAACAGAAATAATATGTACAGCTCGTTTCTACTTTTTTTTTTAACTCTATTTTTAACTAAATTTTTTAAAGCTAACTCAATGCAGTTGTTTGATTTACGCACGGAGGTTCCCAACACTTGTATTTTGTATTTATCACTAGAATTCCAGAAAAGAAGGAAAAGGTACCATAGTATAATTTATAGTATGTGTAGCATAATTTATAGTCTTTTATTTAATATTTCTACGTGGACGTTTTGTCATCCATAAATTTGATTGTATCACCTGGTTATCAGATCCTCATAGTATATGCTGCGGCACCCAGCAATTGCTCTACCGTTTCCCAGAACTCTTGTTACCAAACCTATAAATAACAAATGTCTCATCGGAGCACTGGACGTGCACATCTTAAGGTTTTAGTGATACGGAAGCCTCAGTAAAACTGGGATGTTTATCGAAATCATGTTTCATTCATTTTAGCTCTGCCATGTACCTTTTTATTAAATTGCCAAAAAAATAAAAACGGGTATACCCTCTCGCTCTTCCTTTATTTTTTTAGTCGAAAATAAAACTTTTGCATCGCTCATAATCAAGAGCAACCTCCCCTGTACAATGAATCAACAATGTAATTCCTACTCGCGTTTGATTCCCACGGATTGACCCAACTAAGCATTCTGGCCTGACATGTTCACCGATACGGAGGTCTATAATGGATAGGATGGCTAAGGATGAGTGAAAAAAAAAAAAGGATCTAGTCGATTTTCTATCGGGCTCGAATATGCTTTACTGGTTTCAACTTCGCCTCAACGTACAAACCCAGTCACCAATTTTGTTTAAGATTCAAAATGCCCAGCAAAAGATATGCTTTTTAAGCTATCAGCTAGCCATGCCAATCGATCATGCTTATCATATATATTAAGCAAGAATATCGCAGAAAAATGAGCTTGATTAACCGCACATCTCTAAGGATCATTGTTCCTTATTATAGTTCAAGATTATACATAACGAAGCAGAGATAAAAGCTTAGCTTTATCATTAGCGTTAAGCTGACATACCACTTGTCTGCTTTTTATAATGAACGGTTCTCTTAACCTCGTGTATTTACATCAGGCTTAGAACTCGGGGACCATATTGCTTCCAGCGAAATATCGTAGCGCGTAACTGGTTACAGGATGTAGTACTTACTTCACACAGAAAATAACACATGTGATTTCTACAAATAGTCTAGCCTTTCTCATTGTCCAGCCTGAATACACCTCCTTATTGGTTTGTATATAGTAACTACTTGGCTTACATCATGCTCCTTTGTCACTTAAAGCAATTACCCAACTATAGAGACGTCCCAATCAATTTTGGAGCCGCTGTACATATGTGCTATAGATTACCATGCATAATAACAGGCGCCTTTGACTTTAGATGTCCATTTAAACGAATAGTTTTAGAAAAATATGTAGGCACGGATACCTCTGCAGTTCGGCTTATGAGATATCAAATTGTAGCAATAAGTAATTGCCTTTCGTAAAGTAAAACAATTTCGAACAGCATGGCCCCCCCCCACATTTCAGAACTCGCCAACGACGATCAAATGTCTCGACCTGCTATTGTAAATGAATGCCCCGATAACACCACCGCCCATTGACTGGTAAATACCTCAAGATAAGAGTGTAGATAAATGATGAGGCAATCGAAAAGATACTGCTCAGTGCCAGTCGATGTAGATGGTCCTGGGTTCGATTGGTTTATTTGAATTAAGGAAGCTCATTTTTTTT